AACATCCTGTTACGGTAATTTACCCACGCACGCATGGACTCTCCCAGCTATAAATAGGAGCAGGTACTGCCTTTTTGGAGAGCTCTGACAGTCGGACCGAACATTCTTGCTATAACACTCTCATATTTGTATTACTGTTTCTGTTAATATATTTGTTTAACTCACTTCCTCTCTTTATGTCTTTATTTCTGGCTCTAACAAGGCCACAACACATCCCATGATGTAAAAATTTAATTTCATAGTCCATAATATACGTTCATGTTTCATGATTCATTAAATGATGGGGTAGGAGGATGAAACCAGAAAACAAACTTAAAAATGAAACACAAAGATAAAATAAAAACGAAACAATGTTAGTAGGACCCGCCCATCATATTAATAAAAATGGCCGCTGTATTCTGTCGATATTTCCTCTACTATTTTTGGTTTGCATCCTCTCTCCTGTCGTCGTAGTGCCGGCCGTTTTCCACAGCATGCAGCCATTAACGACATCATCAAAAGAGGTTTGGATGCAGCTGGGTTCCCTTCCCAAATCGAACCCGTAGGTCTCGACCGCGGTGATGGAAAGCGGCCGGATGGCATTACCATTTTCCCTTTTTAAAATGGGGAAGTCGTTGATTTGGGATGCGACCTGTGCGGATACATTTTGGGCCGGTAATTTGATCAGGTCCGCGATTGAGCCGAGGTCCGTCGCCCGGGATGCAGAAATGAAAAAAATAGTTAAATATTCTTCTCTTGCTGATAGATTTTTTTTTACTCCTGTGGCAGTGGAGACTTCAGGGGTTATTGGCCCTCGTTCGATGGCGTTCCTTCGGAGGATTGGTGAGATGGCGTCTCGATTAAGGGACGAGCCTCGTGAAACGGAGTGGCTCTTGCAGCGTGTCTTACTGGCGATGGTTCGAGGTAATGCTTTCTCCATCATTGCGGCTGGCAGAAGAAAAAAAAAATTGTTTATAGTTGCGTTGTTCTGGAATTGTCATCAGTGGTCAACTGAATTTATTTTGTTTCAATAAATTTTCCTTGATAATTTCCTCTATTAAGTTCTAAAATGCTAACTGCTATTATTAAAGACGCTTGAAATGACGAACGAAAGCAAAAAAGAAATCTATTTAAATGTTGCTAACGTCATTCGACCTTGCGTTGTTATTGGCTTCGTCTATGAAATTGTATTATTATTATATACACAATTTTCCCAACGTTTCCTGTGTCCTGGTTCCTAGATGAGCAAAGGAAAACAACGGATTAAAATGGTGATCGATGTATTTCCTATATTATTCTTCATTTGGATACCGATTGTTAATTCATAAAATTCAGTTTCTTTGATTTAAAAAAGAAGCAATTTTTTATTGTTGTAAAAAGCAATTTGTTATCATATTTCTTTTTAAATACTACTACAATAAGCATCGTTAATTATCACGGTATTGATATTTCTTCAATATGTTATTAATTATTGGTTTAATTTTAATGTACATATATTAATATATTACGACAGAAACGACTATACATTTTTTTTATTTCGCTTAAAATATTATTACTTATCAGCTACAGAGGGAAGCATTTTCTTAACTTTTTTGCCTTTTTATATATTTTAATGTTTAATTTAATTTCTAAAATTCGGACGAATGCTTGTCAGTTATTTATTTCTTTTGTAGTAATTTCAAAAAGAAATTGACAAAACCTTTTATAATAATGAAAGTAATTATATTACGTTGATAGAATGATTGAATATTTTTTGACAGAAAATCTTTTATAATAATGAAGAAAAAATAGATTATTTTGATAGATGATAGAATATTTTGATATAAAATCTTTCAAATAATGGTCGGTTTCATTTGCTAACGAATGAAGCCAAATATCAAATTCCATGCTTAGAATATTGCTGCCACATATGGTCCGGTACCTCTGCTATTTACCTTGAGCTCCTTGATAAGAACCAAAGAAGAATCTTATTAGTCCTGATCTGGTGGCTCGGCTTCAGTCTTTTTCTAACATCCTTAAGATTGCCTCTCTGTATCTTTTATATAAATATTTTCATGGTGATTGTTCAGATGAGCTCTTCATTATGGTATCTTGACTTTTTGAATTTAAGCTCAGTATTAGACTGGCGTTGAGGTCTCATCAATTTACAGTTCAGCTGGCTTGATGTAGCCTTAAGTTCTATGTTAACAATTTCTTTTCTCGCACTTCTTGCTTGTGGAACTCCGTCCCGGCTTCGTGCTTTCCAGTCAACTTTAACCTGCAAAAATTTAAATGAAATGTCAATCGCTGTCTACTGTCTTCCTGATTACTCTTTTCTCTTCCCGCTCATTATTAATGATTTTATTCCTAATTGTTCTACACTCTGTAACCCCTTGCCTTAATAGCTTTACTGCCTTGCATGGAGAGATACCGATTTCTAAAAAATTAGGTTGAATCAAAAATAATTTCCGTTTTTTATTTATCAACTTTATTCCTCAAAAAACAAAATACAATTACATTTTATTAAATTGCATTATATTTTCGCCATTATTTACAACTAGCAGACATACCCAGCTGAATGATCAAAAAAAAAGTTCAATTAGAATGGAGCAAAAACAGCATCGTGTTTAGATGTAACAGAGTCTATCTTCATTTACGTTAAAGTACTTTCATTAAAAAAAAAAAAATTGGAATTAATTCATTTACTGATATAACAGAAGTAGTCTGTTACGCGGTGAAGTAATGGATAGCGACTCGGATTGAGGAATCGGAGAGCCGAGTTCGAATTCCACGTCCTTTGGGAAAGGTATGAATCCTCTTCATCTCTCCCCTCCCAAAACTATGTATAAATAGCAGGACAGACCGGATTCTATAGCCTTGGATGTCAACTGGTCTACCGCAGAAAGAAATGGCAAACCACTGCGGGAAAAAATCTGCCTCGTCAGTCATGATCGCTTAAGCGTGTATCACGCATGGCACGTAACTGACTAACTGAGACTGTATTTCTTCAATCGAAGTTAACCGAGGACATGAAGGGGTAAAACAGGCAACATGAAGCCCAGAATTATTTTGGAGTTTTTAGAAATTCAATTTGTCATCGTGTTACCAGGGAAATAAAAGAGAATACATTTGTAAAGCAATTGTTAAGTTCGATGAAAATTGGTTCAAAGATCAACAAAAAATAGGAACGAAACCAGAAAAATCGTCATTTTTCGCAATTTACGCGGTTTTTCACTAAATGGATGGACTCAGTTATTAAGTTAAATGACTGTTAAACAATCAACTTATTGTTGGCTACGATTGAGTGAAGTTCGAATTAGATTGATTGGGAATTGAGGGAGTTTTTAGTTTAAAATTAGTGTTGAAATCGATTTGTGTTGAAATCGTTTTTTTTTGCTTTGTTTTTCGTGGTTTTTCGCTAAATGCAGTAGTTTAGAAATAAAAATGGGGTATCGTTGAGCTCGTCATGATATAAGTAACCTATATATCGAGTTTGAACGAAATCGGATGAAAAAAGTTCAATTCATCGATTGATTTTGATTGGCTTTACCGATTATTGATTTTTTTTTATTATTGATTTTACGCAAAGTTCCTATTTCTTACATTGTACAATGTATGTGCCAAGTTTGATCAAAATCAGCTGGATGGATCTCAAGTGAAAAGGTATCACACAGACAGACAGACAGACAGACACAGAGACATCCTCTGTTGTATATATATATATAGAAGATTCATTGCCACTTACCAAGCAGCTCTTCGATACACAAGCATCCTCACGTCGAAGTACCTGATTTTTCCATCTAGGTACTGGCCAGGCAAGACGTTGCTTAACATCGGTGATCCTACGAGTACCGGTGTTTCAAAGTGATATGGCTGTAAGCATCCTCACGTCGAAGTACCTGACTTTCCCATCTAGGTACTGGCCAGGCACGACGTTGCTTAACATCGGTGATCCTACGAGAACCGGTGTTTCAACGTGATATGTCTGTAAGCATCCTCACGTCGAAGTACCTGATTTTCCCATCTAGGTACTGGCCAGGCACGACGTTGCTTAACATCGGTGATCCTACGAGAACCGGTGTTTCAAAGTGATATGGCTGTAAGCATCCTCACGTCGAAGTACCTGATTTTCCCATCTATGTACTGGCCAGGCTCGACGTTGCTTAACATCGGTGATCCTACGAGTACCGGTGTTTCAACGTGATATGTCTGTAAGCATCCTCACGTCGAAGTACCTGATTTTCCCATCTAGGTACTGGCCAGGCACGACGTTGCTTAACATCGGTGATCCTACGAGAACCGGTGTTTCAACGTGATATGGCTGTAAGCATACTCACGTCGAAGTACCTGATTTTCCCATCTAGGTACTGGCCAGGCACGACGTTGCTTAAGATCGGTGATCCTACGAGAACCGGTGTTTCAACGTGATATGTCTGTAAGCAACCTCACGTCGAAGTACCTGATTTTCCCATCTAGGTACTGGCCAGGCACAACGTTGCTTAACATCGGTGATCCTACGAGAACCGGTGTTTCAACGTGATATGTCTGTAAACATCCTCACGTCGAAGTACCTGATATTCCCATCTAGGTACTGGCCAGGCTCGACGTTGCTTAACATCGGTGATCCTACGAGTACCGGTGTTTCAACGTGATATGTCTGTAAGCATCCTCACGTCGAAGTACCTGGTTTTCCCATCTAGGTACTGGTCAGGCTCGACGTTGCTTAACATCGGTGATCCTACGAGAACCGGTGTTTCAACGTGATATGGCTGTAAGCATCCTCACGTCGAAGTACCTGATTTTCCCATCTAGGTACTGGCCAGGCTCGACGTTGCTTAACATCGGTGATCCTACGAGAACCGGTGTTTCAACGTGATATGGCTGTAAGCATCCTCACGTCGAATTACCTGATATTCCTATATGGTTACCCATTTAGGTACTGACCAGGCTTGACGTTGCTTAACTTCGGCGATCCTACAAGAAACGGTGTTTCAACGTGTTATGGCCGTATGCTTATCCATTACACCACACGCACTTCGTAGCTTACAGCCGCTGTTATTCCCAAGAGGTTACCCAACTAGGTACTGATCAGGCTTGACGTTGCTTAACTTCGGCGATCCTACGAGAACCGGTGTTTCAATGTGATATGGTTGTATATTTATCCATTACACCAACTACCCCTGCAAACTTACAGCACCTGGTATTCCCAAGCGTTTCTCATCTAGGTGCTGACCAGGGTCGACGTTGCTTAACATCATTGTTTAAAAATTGATGTGTTTTGTTTTCTTTACGGCATTGTTCATTAACTTGCTTTTATCTTGAAAATGTTTAAACGAAAAAAAAAAAAAATCTCGTAATAAAAGTTTTTCTGCGGCGTTATTCAGACCTTGTTATTATCAGCATGGCTGATGTCCAACTCCACCAGAGCACCTCTCTGCGCCTGCTTGGTCTCACGCTGTCCACTGACCCGAAGTGGAACAACTACATTGAATCAATAGCTTCATCTACCGCAAGGAAAGTTGGTTCTCTGTGTCGCGCCAGAAGCTTTTTCTCGCCTGAGTCTATCTTTCAAATCTACAAAATCTACCATTCGTCTTTACATCGAATACTGTGTCCATATAGGGTCTGGTGACCCTGCTGTTCCTCTCGCGGTTCTAGACAAAATACAGAAACGGATACGCAATGTTATAGGTTCTGATCTGGCATCTCGTCTACAGTCACTTTCTCACCGACGTAATGTGGCTTCCTTCCATCTTTTCTACAAATATTTTCATGGCAACTGACCTGACGAGCTATTTTCACTAGTGCCCCAACTGCATGAATTTAAGCGTGCTACTAGGTTGACATCTTGGTCCCACCCTTTCACTGTCGAAGCAGTTAAATGTAACCGCCTCTTCTACTCCAACAGCTTTTTGTCTCGCACTTCTCGCCGGTGGAACTCTCTTCCTCCTACTTGCTTCCCTGATAGCTATAATCTTCAAATATCCAAATGTAATGTCAATAATGTAATGTAATGTCAATCCTGATACTCGTCCTTCACTATATCCTTTTATCAAATGCCCTCCTTTACTCTTTTTCTCACTCTCTTGCTAGTGGCATTCCCGCCTTGCTTGGGGTGAAATGCTTAAAAAAATTCAAATGATACGCACCTTTCCCCAAATCGAATTCGCTTTTATTCAAAACCTATGTAACTTTGGTTTGGTTTGTTTTACAGCACATCAACCTCAATGGGTCATTTAATGCCGACAACTATTTTTTTCTTTTTTTTGGTAATATTTTTTTGTCAAAAATCTATTTCTGTTAATATTTCTTTTTCCTCAAAAATGTATAGCTGGTAATATTATTTTTCAAAAAACGCATAGCTGGTAATACTATTTTTCCAAAACGTATAGCTGGTAATATTATTTTTCCAAAAACGTATAGCTGGTGATACTATTTTCTCAAAACGTATAGCTGGTAATACTATTTTTTCAAAACGTATAGCTTGTAATATTATTTTTCCCAAAACGTATAGCTGGTAATATTATTTTTCCAAAAACGTATAGCTGGTAATATTTTTTTTCCAAAACGTATAGCCGACAACACTATTCTTTCAAAAAAAAAAATGTATAGCTGGTAATATTTTTTTCAAAAACGTACAGGTGGCAACATTATTTTTTCAAAAACGTATTATCAGAGTCCTTGATGTTGGACGTAGTTTATCGTCATACCCAGGATACGGATGTAGTGTATCGTCATACCCAGGACGCGGATGTAGTTTATCGTCTTACCCAGGACGCGGATGTAGTTTATCGTCATACCCAGGACGCGGATGTAGTTTATCGTCATACCCAGGACGCGGATGTAGTTTATCGTCATACCCAGGACGCGGATGTAGTTTATCGTCTTACCCAGGACGCGGATGTAGTTTATCGTCTTACCCAGGACGCGGATGTAGTTTATCGTCATACCCAGGATACGGATGTAGTTTATCGTCATACCCAGGACGCGGATGTAGTTTATCGTCATACCCAGGACACGGATGTAGTTTATCGTCATACCCAGGACGCGGATGTAGTTTATCGTCTTACCCAGGACGCGGATGTAGTTTATCGTCATACCCAGGATACGGATGTAGTTTATCGTCATACCCAGGACGACCATGTAACTTTATTGTCAACATGTGTTCTTTTATTCAAAATCAATGTACTTTTATTGTAAACGCAAGTTCCTACATCCATACTTTCATTCAAAATTTTATGTATGTGTGCTGAATTTTTATTCAAGTTATCATATATCTATATTCAAAAGTCGCGTACTTTTATTTAAAACTAAAATATCTTTATTGCAAATAAGTACCTTCGTTCCAAATCTATAGTAAATTTTCATATTTTTTTCCAAACATTCGTAACTGTATTCAAAATCCATGTACCTTTATTGCAAATATATGTACCTTATTTCAAAATATATGTACCTTTATCGTAAATATAATTACCATCTTTCCAAATATATGTACCATTATCGTAAACATAAGGGCCTTCTTTCCAAATATATGTATCTTTATCGTAAACGTAAGTGCCTTCTTTCCAAATATATGTACCTCTATCGCGAACATATGTACCTTCTTTCCAAATATATGTACCTTTATCGTATACATAAGTGCCTTCTTTCCAAATATATGTACATTTATCGTATACATAAGTGCCTTCTTTCCAAATATATGTACCTTTATCGTAAATATGAGTGCCTTCTTTCCAAATATATGCACCTTTATCGCAAACATAATTACCTTCTTTCAAAATATGTGTACCTTTATCGTAATTATAAGTACCTTCTTTCAAAATATATGTACTTTTATCGTAGGCGAAATAAACTTCTTTCAAAATAAGTGTACCTTTATCGTAAACATAGCACCTTCTTTCAAAATCTATGTACCTTTATCAGAAACATAGGTACCTTCTTTTCAAGTATATGTACATTTATTGTAAACATATTTATTTTCTTTCAAAATCTATGTAACTTTATTGCAAACATAAGTACATTCTTTCAAAATTCATGTACCTTTATTGAAAGCATAATTACCTTCTTTTTGGAGAACTCTATTTTTTGGCCTGAATTGGAATTTTGGCCCAAATGAAAGTTTTGGTCCAAATCGATCTTTTGGCCGGAATTGGACTAATAGCCCGAACCAGAGTTAAATTGAGATTTTGAACTTCCATGAAGTGAATTGAGGAATTCAAAGTTATTTCTTCAAAATGATCATTTCTGTTTTCTAGGCTGAAATAGAAGTCATTTTAGTTTTGGGTTAGAGGGCTAATTAGCCCTCTGCAGAAGCTAGCTTATAAGCCCACACTTAAGCTAGTTTATAAAACATTTGTAAACATTGTGCAAAACATTTATAGATTTCATAAACATTGCATGAATTCATAAAAAGTATATAAAGTCCTAAACATTGCGTAAAAACTTTTAACACGCCATTTTATATCAGACACAAATCTGTTCTTCCTCTCTCTTGATTTCATTCGCCTACAAAAATGTAGCCTTTTTGAAGGCAAAATGATGACAGCAAAATTGAAAATTACAAAAGGTCTTTTGAAGTATGAAAAAACTCAATTTTTTAAGCTGTTGAAACTATCAAATATCGCAGTTTACCCCAAACCTGTTGAGTTACAAATTGTTTCCCAATGTTTAAAAGTTCTTTTGTGATCAAACTGTAGCTGCCATTAAAAATAAAAAAAACATTATTAAATGGGAAGGATACTGCAGAAGTAGTTAATTTCATTGAGAAATCTTAAAATATTGGGAAATCGTCTGTGTCAAATAAATATATGCTGATGCTAACAAAAGTAATCCACTGAAAAAGGTGATATTAAATTTAATTTTTTCAAAAATGTCAAAAAGAATGGAAGGGAAGCAAAGAAAAAGAATGAAATCATTAACAGGAGATAAGAGTTTAGCCATTGAACATACATGAAATGACTTAATTAATGTTTGCAGATATTTGCTAAACAATGGGTTTAATTTTCTTATATTTGGTGAATTTACCACAGATCATTTACAAAATGAATTTGGAAAATTAAAACAATGTTCTGGAGATGCATATTTTATAAGAGTTCAAAATGTTATTGAAAAATATCATATTGAAAAAACTAAACTACTTCTTAAATTAAATGTTGATGTCAAAGAATACAACTTTGATTCAGGCCATAATTACTTAAAATGTGGGCATTTGCTGGATGAAATGCAATGCCAAACATTTGATAACTTACCAGAACTTGAAACTAGGATCTCTAAAGATATTAAAATGTCACTTTTGTATATAGCAATATATGTGTGTGTGTGTGTATGTGTGTGTGTGTGTTACAAGAAACGATTGTCCCACAAAATAAGAAATATTTAATAATAATAATTCTTATTTTTAAGAACATGGACATTTTTTGAAAAAGATAGATTGTGGTAATTTAAAAATTTCACCGGATACCACAATTCAGTAGACATTTTTTTATATTTTTTTTGTTTCTTAGACAAAATTTTTTATGCTAATTTCTGATCTGTATCATTTCAATATGAAAAGAAAGCACAGGATTATATTGCCAAATATATTTATTATATCTTAAAATCTCGTATTTTTTCAAGTATTAAAAATATCTACATATTTATTCATTCACAGAAACATTTACTAGATATTTTTTTATTTTCAATTTTCCCACTTTTTACAACTATTTAATTAGCCTATTGACCTATTTAAATACTTAAATATTTAATTAACCTGTCAATTAATCTTGTATTCTTGTTAATGTAAATTGATTTTAAAATTATGTATACTTGTAATATCTATTATTGTATCATAGCAAAATAAGTATTTTCTTCATCTTCTGTGAAACAAAATGTAAATATAACAAAAATTACAATAAATTTTGTAAAGATCATCAAAATTTTTGTTTTTCTGAAATTCAAATTTTTTCTTGTAAAGTATTTACAGTAAACACATTTTTAGTCCTAGTGGTAGTAGCAACGGATGATCCAATCTGAGAAGCGTATGATTCAGCACGAAAGTGAGCTTTTAAGAAACATTCCAAATTGACGTCGTGCTCCTCTTTCTTAAGTTTTTCGAAAGAATTTATAACTATAGGAGGCATAGGGAATTGTTTATTTTCGACCAGTGGACGAATTT